CACACATCCCTCTCTCTATGGAAAGGCAAAGCCTTGTAGAAGTGAGAAGACTGTCTCTTCAATGAATTATGAGGTCAAAAGGACCCATCTTAGCACCAGGGGAGAAATGCCTATCTCTGATTAAGATCAGGTCTCCATTCACTCAGTTGAGGGCCAGGTAAATAAATCTTACTGTTAAACATGTCTGCAGTTCTGTAACTATCGTGATAAGCCATATTTAGCATCCGAGACCTGAGATCTGGGATTTTTAAGACCACTCATCGTGGAAGATCTGCTAGGGAAAGGGCTCTAAATCAAATAGAAAAAAATAGTAAAAACTGACAAACACTTGAGAACCAAGCAACCAGTTTTTTTCCAAAGCTCTATGAAAATACCTAGATAGGAAAATTAAATGAGACTTCTTACCTCCCTCATATGTGAAAAGTATGGGAGGAAAATCTGCTTCAGGCCATGATGAAGTAAACAGCACCACACTAGCCTTCCCTTCCTAATGTAAACAAACATAACATTGGGAGGCAGTGGTTTTCAGACACTGGATAGCAGGTGGTAGAAGACTAATTCCAGAGAGAAAATAAATTTATGAGATGACTCCAGATCTCATCCGGGGACAATTTCCTGAGTACACTATAAAGAGCTGGAATCCACAGCAGTTCCTGCTGAGCTACACAGGCAGAGCAGAGTGTGGGTCGACTGAAGTCAGACTTCCCGGTCAGAGCACTGCAGTGGAGAGAACCATGAAGTCAAAGTCCATATGAGGGTCCCTTACAAAGCTTCAGCCAAGCTGCGCATGCTCACAAAGAGAAGCTTTGTAGAAAGCTGCTGCTACGGGCCAGCGCCGCGGCTCACTAGGCTAATCCTCCGCCTAGCGGCGCCGGCACACCGGGTTCTAGTCCCGGTCGGGGCGCCGGATTCTGTCCCGGTTGCCCCTCTTCCAGGCCAGCTCTCTGCTGTGGCCAGGGAGTGCAGTGGAGGATGGCCCAGGTGCTTGGGCCCTGCAGCCCATGGGAGACCAGGAGAAGTACCTGGCTCCTGGTTCCTGCCATCGGATCAGCGCGGTGCGCCGGCCGCAGCGCGCCGGCCGCGGCGGCCATTGGAGGGTGAACCAATGGCAAAGGAAGACCTTTCTCTCTGTCTCTCTCTCTCACTGTCCACTCTGCCTGTAAAACAAAAAAAAAAAAAAAAAAAAAAAAAAAGAAAGAAAAAGAAAGAAAGCAAGCTTCTGCTACAAGGGCTGAAGAAGCAACAGAATTACTAGAGCTTAAGCATCACTGAGAACACTGGAGCTACAGTCCAACCAAATAAAGAGACTTGCTTAACATTCTAGGTAATGAGGTCAAACATGAGAAATGTTTGGGAATAAGTACAATGTCCCAGATTAAGGTATACCATAGGCCCTCCTTAACAAACTCCAAAATCAAGATATAAAAATATCAATAGGGGAGAGCAAGTTTAAAGGCTCAATCCCACCAAGTCAGAAATTCTGGGTACTACACTGGCATTCCATAGATCCCTCCTAACAAAATGTAAAATCAAACCTACAAGTTCAAGCAAATAAGTCTCAATACTAGAAAATATACTACTGTTTTGCAGAATTTCGGCAACACAGAATCCTCAATATCCAGTATAAAAGAAAAACTGCTAGCTTTGCAAAGAAGCAGGAAAGTGGGAACCATGATCAATTGGGAAAAAACAGTCAATAGAAACTGAGCCTGGAGCAGGCATTTAGCCTAGTGGTTAAGGAGCCAGTTGGGGTGCCTGGGTTCAACTCCAGCTCCTGACTAATTGCCTCTTAACGAAGGCGGTGGTGGAAGTTCAGGTGGCTGGGTTCCTGCCACCCCCCAGGGAGACCTGGATTGAGTTTCAGGCTCCCAGCTTTGATACCAGACTAGCCTGGGTCATTGCAGGCATTTGGAGAGCAAAGCACAGACAGTAACAGATAGTAACTATCTTTCTTCCTCTCTCTCTCCCTCTGTCTCTCTCCCCTCAGACCCCACCAGCCCATCTCTCCATCTGTCAAATAATTTTTTTAAAAAACACCAAACAACCAACAAACCTGACCCTGAGATTGTCTAGATATTGAAATTAGAAAACAGAGACTTTAAAGCAATAGTATTCAATTCAACTGAAAGTATGGAACAAAAAATTATCTGAATGAGTTAACATTCAGGGACTGTTAAATGATAGGGAATCTCATCAAAGAAGTAAAAACTATAAAAATTGGGAAAAATACAGATTCTGGAAGTTAAAGTCAAATCACCGAAATTTTAAAATCCAATGGATGGGACTGATGACAGAACAGAGATGAAAAAGAAAAAAGTTAGTGAACTTGAAAACAGCTAGGAATAAGTGATCAAATTTGAATTTCAAAGAGAAAACAGATTAAAGGAAAATGAACCAGAACCTCAGGGCCTTGTAGGACAACATGAAATGATCTCAGAAAAAAAGAAGCAAAAAATGAAAAACAGAAAAAACACTTGGGGAAATAATGGCCAAAACTTTCCTGAAATTCACCAAAAATAATTAATTTACAAAGTTGAAAGAAACTCAACTAGGATAAATGAAAAAAACTGCATCTAGGTATATTGTAAACAAACTGCTGAAAACCAAAAATAAAGAAGAAATCTTGAAAGCAGTCAAAGAAAAATAAGACATGCTATCAACAGGGGAAAAAAAGATACATTAATTTATCGAAGAATGATACAGAAGCTTCTTGAAATAAACTGAGGAAGAGTTGGCACTTTTTAAAAGAGACTTAAAGTCCTACTTTTGCTTTCCTAGTGATATCCACGCGTGACTTTCAGACTTGGTACACTGATCTACAGTTCCTCTAGAAAGCAAAATGAAGAGCGCCACAGTTTTGTTTTCTGGGTCTCTTAGAGACAAGGGGAATTGTGCTTTGGACTCCTTAGGTTCCCCGTGATTAAATTTACACAGAGAAATACAGGAAGTGAGGTGGAGAAATATAAAGGATGGTAGGGAAAAAAAAGGAAGTAATAAAAGTCAGTACTTTAAGGGATTCTCGCATCTTACAAAACAAGTTATTCACAAACAAAATAAATCACGTTATGTAAGGAAAGTTAAATTGATTATTCCCAAGGGAAATACCTCATAAAACATTTTTAAAGCACAGAAACACAATCTGCTATCTATAGTCTCATGTTAAGATTTAGATTTAAATATAAAATGAATAAATACATGATATATAAATATAATTTAAAATAGGAAAATGTTATGAGAAAACTTATATGAGATCCAAAAGGGTGAATTTAGGGGTTAGTGTTCGGCCTAGCAGTTAAGACACTGGTTAGGATGCCCATGTCCTATACCGGAGTACTTGAGTTTGATTCTAGGCTCTAGCCCCTAACTCCAGCTTCCCTTTTACTTCAGACCCCGGGAGCCAATGGTGATGGCTCAAGTGGTTGGATTCTTGACATCCATGTGGGAGACCTGGATTCAATTCTCATCTCCTAGCGTCTGGCTCATTTTGGGAGTGAACCCAAATTCTGGGCACTTTAAGAGTGAACATGGGAGCACTCTTTTGCGCTCTCTCTTCTTTCTCGCTCTCTCTCTCTAAATATATAAAAATAAATAAAACAAGAGTGGTAAATTATATTAAAACCAAAAGGGTTATTATAAAGTCCCATCAACACTGTGAGTTTATGACCATAGAAATACAGATAAAATATTAATCATATATCTTCCTCAATGTGAATGTGTGTCTATATATATATATATATAGACACACATGTAGAAAATGCTGACTATAAAGACTTTTCTTTTTTGTTGCCATAAGAGAAAAAGGAGACTAATTCACAGAATTCCTTGTCATTTTAGATTTCTTATTATCTACCATGATTAAGCAATAAGAGTTACATGAGAAAATATAAACCCAATTTTTAAAATATTTTACTCAACACAAAATCTCTATCCCAGAAAACCATAAATTTTAGTAGATGTAACACTCTAACAAAATTTCAGAAAGGATGCTCCTTTGCTTCAAACCAGTACTTGTCAACAGTAGACACTATGGACAGCTCCTCGCTGTGGGGAGTCTCTCATGTATACTGCAGGGTGTTTAGTAGTCACCAATTCTCCTCCTCCCAGTGTGATAACCAAAAATGTTCCCAGGCATTGTGAAATGTCCCCCATGGGACAGAACTGCCATTGGCCGATAAGCACTGCTAAGAACAGATCTTTTGTTCCTCCAATTTATTCACTTTAAAAAAGGATATTTGGTTTATAATTTACATTGGAAGCAACCTTGCTTTACTAATAAGGTATCTGGTATTAAATTTTGAAAGCAATGTCCTCCACTCAGTGAAAAAATTCTTATTACTGGGTTGGGTTTAAATTTCTTTATGGTTAGTTAATAGGTTCTGATTTTTACTTTCAAATAAAGCAGACTTTACACTTTCTGTAAGGCTTCATTCAGCACCTGCTCACCTATGAATAGCAGATACAACTCAGCTGAACAAAGCTGGAACAAATAACAAGTATTTTTAAGTCATTTGTGAGAGCATGATACTGTCTTCACGTTACTCATCTAGGACACATTCAAGGAATTTTGAAATAAAAGATACCTTAGATTGCAAGTTGTTCTTAATGAAATTAACCTTTCAAAAATATAGTATATTTTTCATACAGGTTACCAAAATTTCAGCATCTATTTCATTAAACATTATTTCATTGTCTTAAAACACTAGCAAGTGTTAAGAAGCATGTTTTTCCAAAACAAGACTATTGATCAAATGCAAAAATACTGTAACATCCGCTGGCTCTGGCATTTAATTAGCAAGAGATGTAACCAGAAAATTCACTGAAGAAAAAAGATATTTATAATTGTTGACTCTTCCTTTCATAAAGATGAGAGAAAAATCCTCAAATCTTGCTGTGTGTGTTAGCGTGTGTGTATTTTTTTTTTTCCAGGAGAAAACACATGGCAATGTCGGGGTAAAAATACAGGCTCTGAGTCACATGCAAATCCATTTCATTTGACTCACCTATATGATAAAGTCCGATCCAATCACTGGGGTCCACCTCCTCTTTAATGTCCCAGAAGATGATGAGGTTCTGGGCTTGCCCCAGCGTGTACTCATACATGCTGGCAGTTAAGCTGGAGCGGCTCTCCGAAGTCACCAGGTCCGTGTCGCTGTTGGCCCGCTGCAGGGTCATGTTCTCTGGCAGGGAACTCTGGGCCGCAAGGCTCTGCAGGTTCTCTGGGCTCAGTGTGTACCGCATCTGGGGATTTCGCCGTCGCACAAAAAGCAGATGCTCCCGGGCTGAGCTAGCCATCCCGTCTGCCTCTCTGAGGATGGCTTCCTACAACGCTGCAAGAAAGACAAGCGTAAAACATCACTGCCACAATGCAAAGAATTAGACTGCAGCTTCCCAGAAATAAAGCCTTGAGGAATGTTTATGAAAGCCCAACCATGAGATAATCTTCTGCTGTCAAAATAAAATCTATTATTCTACTGTCAAGTGACAAAGTCAGGAGCAACCGCCAGACTCTGAGGTCACATGACCCCAAAGCGGTCAAACACCTGTGGGCTCAGTCTCACTTGGCACAACTTCATCCTGGCAGTTAGAGAAGAGGGGATATCTCGACCATCCCTTTTAGGTCTGCCCTTTCTCAAGCACCCCACCTTCAGATATGGCATCCTTTTTTCTTTTTCCTTCCCACACACGGATTTATTTCATGCTGCAATTATATTTTGATACAGCAAAACAGAATTTTAACACATACTAAGTACAGCTTTAAAAAACTGAACACAATTTCCTTAGCACAGGAATGTAATTCATGAAAGGATTTTTGGGCAAGTCGGGAAGCTTTCTCAGATGTCACCTCTTAAATACAACAGCCATCATATGTAAAACTACAACATCCCAGCAATCCTCATTCCTCTTTTCTTGCTTTATTTTTCTCTGTAGCAGTTAGTATGATGTGATGTGCTTCAGAACTTACATATTTAATTGGTTATTGTCTACTGCCCCCAGCAGGAAGGTAAGCCTCACAAATACAGGGCTTTTCATCTCTTTTGTTGGCTGCTTTATCCCCAGTGTCTACAGCCCTGCCTAGAACAGGGTAGGTGTGGCTAAGTGTTTGATAAATGAACTGATGAAGGACTGTGGGGAGCAACTGGGAGCAACTCGGCCTAGACTAAGTTACTGGAATTAAGACTTATTCTATGCATCTGCTTTCCCACAATATGGCGCTGAGAAGGGAAACAGCTTCTACACAGCTGCCTCCAGTTCAACCAATAAACTGTGGGACCTGCTCCTGATTGGAGGAGAGCAGCGTACTCGGCGTGTGGGTAGCAGAGTTGGAAGAGGACTATAAAGGAGGAGAGAGACGGCATGCACCAGGAACATCTAAGGGGAACATCCGAAGGAACACCTGTGCAGCCCCCGAGAGAGCCGGCCGGCGGTGTGCCGCTCCCCCGCGGAAGTGGGGAAAGTGGCTAGGGGGAACCGCCCTTCCACGGAGGTGGAAGGGACGGTAGCCAACCCAGGAAGAACCAGCAGCAAACCCGGGGAGGGCCGAGCAGACAAAAGAACAACGCAGGGTCCTGTGTCGTTCCTCCACGAAGACGGGGAGCGACAAAGGACAGTGAGCATCACTCTCCTACCTGGAGACTCCCCAGCATGCCTTATAATTCAAGTGCCTTTTCTGAATCTGCTTCTCATCATCCCGATTTTCTGTCTGGTCCATACCCCTTCAACCATCTGGATCATGATAAGCTACTTCCTCCAGCTCCCACTTAGCCTCCCAACCTAAGGAACAGGGCCTTCCCTGTTGGAACTGACATAGAGCTCCTTGTGGCTTGCATTGGCAGATGCGACCAGGATCCTTGCAAGACTTCTGTACTTTAATCCAGTACTTTGGAGGCTCTATCTGTTAGTATCCTCTGGTCTGCCCACAGATTCATACTACCTTCCTCAGATCCTATTGGCCTTAGATAAAATGAATCTGCTTCTCTGGAACATAACTGCTTTCAAAACTACCTAAGCCACTAATGTATTTATGGATTTAACATTAATTCCGCACCACTAGTTTGTGCTGGCATCTTCAATACATTTTATTTTATTTAAAGGCAAACTCAATTGGGTTCTGGAAAGTCAGCATGAATTTCCATTTAAAGAGCAAACTAATGGGCTGGCGCTGTGGTGCAGCAGGTTAAAGCGCCAGCCTGCAGTGCCGGCATCCCATATGGACGCTGGTTCGAGTCCCAGCTGTTCCAATTCCTATCCAGCTCTCTGCTATGGCCTGGGAAAACAACAGAAGATGTCCCAAATCCTTGGGCCCCTGCCTCCATATATGGGAGACAAGGAAGAAGCTCCTGGCTCCTGGCTTTGGATCAGTTCAGCTCTGGCTGTTGTGGTCACTTGGGGAGTGAACCAGTGGAATAGAAGACTTCTCTCTCTCTCTGGCTCTACTTCTCTTTGTAACTCTGTCTTTCATATACATAAAACAAATCTTTTTTTTTTTTAAAGAGCAAACTGAGGTGGGCATTGGTGTAGCCATTAAGACGTTGTTTGGGAAGGCTGAATCCCCTATCAGAGTGCCTGGGTTCAAGTACCAGCTCTGTTTCTAATTTTGGCTTCTGGCCCATGTACAATCCATGAGGCGGGAGGTGCTATCCCACACACTTAGATCTCTGTCACTCATGTTAGAGACCTGGATTGAGTTCGGAGCTTCTGGGTTTTGGCCTGGCCCACCCCTGGTTGTTGTGAGAATTTGGGAAGTAAACCAGCAGATGGGCAAAGTGTGTGTGTGTGTGTGTGTGTGTGTATGTGCATGTATGTCTGTGTGTGTCTTTCAAATAATTTTGAATAAAGAAATTTATAAAAGTAATAATAACCTCACTAACCTTGGGTGCAACAGTGCATTAAAACTAACAACCTTAGATAATGAATCTGAGAAGGGGGTGAAGAGGTGTAGAGTTCCCTAGTTTCATTCCCTCATCCATTTCAATCCATTTCACAAATTCATTGGGTAAAGAGGACATATTTCCATTTATAGGGCTGCTGTTCTACAAGTATATTTATTCAAGTAGTTTCATCCATTAAGTCAATCTCATACTTTTAACACAACCTCTTGAATTGAAATAACTTGGGTTGGTAGGCAAAACATCCTACATGTAAAAGACAGAAAAAAAAAATGAACAGAGAAGTCAATCACCCATTTTAAAGGTATTAGTCTCAGACCTCTCTTCATAAATCTAGCGCTTCTTTTATGTATATGGTCTGCAGTAACTCCAACATCATAATATAACCCAAAACTGTCAGTCAATCTACAAACCGTGACAACTAAAATAATAGTAACTTCCAATCTGAGGATGTCATGAAATGCTATTTTGTGGATTTCAGCAGACTTTAAAACTCAATGAGTCGGCCACCATATCAGCTTCAGCAAAAATTATAAATAGATAGAAGTGATAAAAACCAGATTGTGTAGATTTGAAGTGGAAAGATCAGTGGGGTCAGAGTAAAGAGTTCAGACTCTTCTCCAAAGGTTGGACAGTAAAGGTAAAGAGGCAGGTAATGAGTTCGCCTACTTTTTCATTCTGTTTTGTATTCAGATTTTGTATGTTTATAATGAGAACACAGAAACTAAAAATAAGGAAGTATTGTTGAATGACTGAAAGAGAAAAGGGTCAGTAAACAGAAGGAAGATGTAGGAAATATATATATTTATAAAATATATATTATATATTTAAATATTAATAAAATACATTTTATATAAATTTATTTGTTTATATATATATGTATCACTGAGGGAGACCACTGAGGAAGGACTAAAAGTCAGAATACTTAGAGCATTGCGCAACAGAAATATAGTGAAACTCATATATGTAATTTTCAGTCCATATTAAAACATGAGAGGTGCAAACTTTAACAACATGTTTTATTTAACTTAACATACCCAAACTATTAGTGTTTCAACTAATAGTTGGATAACAATAATTCAATTTAGTATAATTATTAATATTGAATTTAGTATAAACTATTAAGGTACTTTTTTATAAATTTTGGTACTTAGACTTTTAAATACAGTGTGCATTTTACACTTAATGCATATTTCAATTCAAACTAATCATAACTAAGTAACTCAAATAGCCACAGGTGGCTGGTGGCGCTTGGAATGGACAGTTTAAATGTTAGCCATAGAAGTACCTCCAGGTTTCCAAACATCTTGCTTCCTTTTCAACTCGCTCCCATCAGAAAGGTCCTTGGGGAAGTTAAGAGGAAAGCATTATTGAACTAGCTGACATTCGTGTTTGAATAACCAAGGGCCAGCATTGTGGCACAGCAGGTTAAGCCACTGCTTGGGATGTTCGCATCCTATATTGGAATGCCAGTTCAAGTCCCAACTACTCTGCTTCTAATCCAGCTCTTTGCTAAGACATTCTGGGAAGCAGCAGATGATGGCTCAAGTAGCTGAGTTCCTGACACCCACGAGGGAGAGCTAGATGGAGTTCTTGGCTCCTGGCTGTAGTCTGACCCAGTCCTGGTTATTGCAGCCATCTGGGGAGTAAAATAGTGTATGGAAACACACTCTCTCTCTCTCTCTCTCTCTCTCTCTCTGTGTGTGTGTGTGCGTGCGTGTGTGTGTGTGTATCTCACTGCCTTTCAATTAAATACATAAATCTTTTTTAATAAAAGTGTGTTTATAACCAAGAGTTACTTAATCCTTCCAAGGATTCTTACGTTGCATTTTAGCAGAAAGTGATGGGCCACATCTCTATATGGAGGGATTTTGTCACCCTATCTATGAAGATTACAATCTGGGGGTAGGAGGAGGGTTTTCTAGGGAGAAACTTGAGGAAGGGATGTTGACAGGCACCAGGAGTTCTTGTGGACTCCTTCAGCTTCTCTTATTCTGCCCTTTAAGCTGCACTCTCTTTAAAAGCAAGAACAGGGGCCAGAGCTTTGGCGTAGTAGGCTAAGCCTCTACCTGCAGCAACAGCATCCCATATGGGTACCAGTTCATGTTCCAGCTGCTCTTCTTCCAATCCAGCTACCTACTATGGCTTGGGAAAGCTTAAAAGACTGTTCAAGTGCTTGGGCTCCTGCACCCACATGTGAGACCCCGAAGAAGCTCCTAGCTCCTGACTTCAGATCGGCACGGCTCTGGCTGTTGCAGCCATTTGGAGAGTGAACCAGAAGATGGAAGAGCTTTTTCTTTGTCTCTCCCTCTCTCTATCTGTAACTCTACCTCTCAAAAAAATAAATAAAATTTTAAAAAAGCAAGAATAGGGCCCCAAAGGGGCTTGTGTATGTCAGGGAAGGAGATAAAATTGAGAAAGAGTGTATATTTTTTTAACAA